CCCTGGGTGCCAGGTGAGAAATGCTACAGAGGAAGACATGGTATGGTGGTCCTGATGCCCCAAAAAATATGGATTGGGGCTGGTGAATGGGCTGGGAAGTGCCTCTGTGGAGTCACCCCTGGGTACCAGGGGCTCAGCAGCACCTCGAGACTGGGAGGAATTCTCTGCAGAGAAGAGAGGCAGTGCAAGGATAACTGATTCCAGTTTAATATGTCATGATGTTGATGCACTTACACAAATACGAGAATTTCACTGCACAAAGGTTCTCTGATCCCCCAAGAACACAAAGACAAGGACATTTCATTCCTTTCTTTTTGTGCTTACCTAACAGTAATGCTTAAAATTATTCCTTAAGAAATGCTTAAAACTAACAGTTCAACAGGTTATTCTGTTTGAGTTTGTGAAGCAGATGTAATGACCTCAACACAAATCAGAACCTAACTCATCAGCAGTCAGGTCTTAGCATGTTAGGAGAAAAAAAATCACTTACTTGATGTGTGCAACTGAATTTTTCTCTCTTAAAAGTTGCTGTGTGCAATATTGCTGGAATATGGGGCTGGTGAAACCAAAGGATGGGCACTAAAACAGTATGTCTGACCTTTGAGTGGTATGCCTTTTTTTCAAAGATTAACCAAATCTTCAGAATTCAAAGCAAAACAATTTCAAACCAAGGAAATTCAGTTTTCAAGCAAATGTGTTCTGCATAGTTTAAAAATCATGTAAACATTATTAATTTCCTATTTACAGCACATAATTCTGTACTCTTTTGTTTATCATCTTTTAAACATGTAATTACTGTATATTGCAATGCACATTAATATCATTTATTGTACATAGTTTATTTTAACAAAATAAATGTATTGCAAAGTATTTTGACAGCATCCTTTTGGGGACGTGTGCTTTTATGTTTATTTTCCCAGATGTTAATGCACCTTGTAGGAGATTTCAGGTAGGAAAAACACCAACCAACACACTGGCAAGGGAGATGAAGAGCTGTGCACCCTCTGGTCCAGCAGCCAGGGCAGGTGGAGTCAGGAGGGAAAGTGAAAGGCTTAAGGTGATGATGAAGTTACACAAGGAAAGACAGCCCTGCTGGTCTGAAAACAAGAATATGACTGGCTCCAGTCTTCCAGGGATTCAGTGCAGAGATGTGGATCTCATTTTTTTAAAAAAATAACAAAATGAATTACTAAAAAAGGTGCCTTTGTTAACCAGCTGTTCATTAACATTCATTCCAAGACCAGAAGCAATCTCATTGACCAGCTAGTCTGGTCTGCAAGCCTAGAAATCCCATTCCTGAACAACATCCCTCATCTTGATTGGACCAAAGCAAGTTTCCCCAGAGGAAGGCTCTTTTCATGTTCCTGCAGCTTGTGAACCTCAGCAGGTTTAACTAGCCCTGCCTGGAGCACTTACAGAGAAAAGACAAAGCATATCAATGTTTATTCCTAATAAAAAGGTACTGCAGCCCAAATCCCTGGCTGCTATAAATGGATGTATCCTCAGAGGAGCCGGGACAATCCAAAAGGGCACAGCATATAGCCTGGAATATATTTTATTCACCCCAGAGGAAGGTGGTTTTACTCACCAGACTTTCCATGGCCTGATTTTATCTGGGAAGAAGTGGCTCAGAGGACCCACGTGTCTGGGGTTAACAGCAACATCCCCCAGAGCAGAAAATTCCTAAATTGCTGCCAGATAAGGCTGGGTGGATGTAGCCAAGGGAAGGATACCTCCATGCAGCCCTGATGCTTTCACATTTCCCTGAATACCCACAGCAGGCTACACTCCCTGGCAGGATGGTGGGTGAGACAGGCTTTGCTCTGACCCAGGGCACTGGTTCCATGTTTCCATGTGAGCACAAAGAGAGCAGGAGGCAGCTGCCTGTCCTGTCTCCCAGAGAGAAATCCAGTCAGTGCAGGGAACACCCATCCTGCCCTCCCTCTCACGGCAGCTCAGCTCTGTAGGTGGAGTAAAATACACTGATTTCTGGCATGGCCAGTCAGGCTGGGCACACCAGCTGCAGGGGAGCTGAGCTTCCAGGGCCAGTGGCTGTCGCAGAGCTGGAGGGTATTTTATCAAAGCACTGCCTGGCTGTGACCATTGCTGTTTAGGTTAAATGAGTTACAATAAACCTGAGGCACTGAGTGCACTGCTGGAGACAGATCTGACTGGTCACAAGTGGCCTTACAGCCCCTGCAAAGCACACTGTAGAGAGGAAAAAATCATCTCTAGCATCATTCCCAATCCAAAAGAGAAACTGAGGCACAAAGAAATTGCTTTTTGTGGAGAGAAAATACCTGAGGTGTTACGGCCTTTGTGACAAACACTCCTTGCAAACACGTACCAAAGACAGACAAACTGTTCAAGTGCTTTGGACAGGTTGGGTGTGAGATCTAAATCCATGGCTTTAAAGAGCATTAAAATTCTCCCAAGGAGGTGACGTTTGCCTGGGAAGAAACTTCTCATGTTCTGAAATATTTGGGCTGTGTTGACTGCCTACAAATTCTGAGCAGGATGTACCACCCCAGCTGAAGCATTAAGGATGTGAAAACTAAAGGCCTGACCACAAGGTGTGGCAGGACAAGGAGTAAAAGTTTTAAACAAAATGAAGGTTGATTTATACAAGAAGTTTTTTTACAGTGAGGATGGTGAAACACTGGCTAGAGAGGTGGTGGATGCCCCATCCCTGGAAACATTCTAGGTGAGGTTGGACAGGGTTCTGAGGAATATGGTTTAGCAGAAGATGTTCCTGCTCTTTGCAGGCCAGCTGGACTAGAAACAACTCAAACTATTCTGTGATATTAAGTGTGAAAATTGATGTGAATTTAACAGAATTTAGACCTACTAGTGTAATAACTTCTGGGGGGAAAGTTCCACATTTGCAATCTGGTGTTGATTGGACTTTTGTCACTCAGGGCAGATCCACAGCATCTCTTTTGCTCTCCTCCCTGGAAGATCATCTCAAAGTGGCCTTTTGCTGCCTTGGTTTCAGTCAGTACATCCTTCCCACCTCCCCCTTCTGCTCCCCAGTCTGGCTGCATCACTCAAAGCCCTTTTCCCACCCTGCAGTGTTTTGTTCTGATCACTTGCTGAGGTTTCTGCTGTCTCACCATGTCCTGGTACAGCCCTGATTTCCTGCTGGCTGCAAAGGAAGGAAGTTTGCCACTTTCTAACCCTGCCTCTAATCCTGAGACTGCAGCACAGCCAGACTCCCTCTGAGAAATTCAGCGAAGGAAATGACTTCACACCAAGGAGATGTTTTGCAGGTGTTCACAGCTCTGGCAAAGAGTTTGTAGGAGCTTATAGATATTCTATGTGAGAAATCTTTACACACAGAAAAAGAGACACATTGCTTTAAATTGCTTTCATACTAAAGTTTGGAGGTTTATTAAGGACACAAAAAAATTTGCAGGTTTCCCATAATAACTGTAATGCCAATTGACAATATCAGAGGGATCATGAGGTGTAATTTGAAACAAAACATCAGCTTATAAATTACAGGCTAAATTTAATCTGTCTCACTGTGTATAGGACACTTGGGGAAGTTTCAAGCATGAGTCCCTGTAAATGAAGGTGACTGCATCCAGGAGACAAGGCAGTGAGTGGGGGGACACAGGTGCAGGTGTTACTCTGAGCAGCAATGCTCTCCTAATGGCTATCTGAGAAGGTGTCTTTGTTTTGTGAGCTCCTGTGGGCCTCTCCCATTTGGCAAATCTTCCTTCCTTCACTTAATTTCCCATTTTGCTCAGGGGAGAAATGAGGGATGAATGTGAGTGTGTCCTCCTGCAGGTGGGAGCCAGGGAACAAAGGCACTTGTGTGGCTGTGGTCACAGGGGGCTCTTGTGGCAGCTCCCAGGTGTCCCCCTAGTTTGTAAAGAGTGGGTCTGAGGAGGTGTGAAGTGTCCTGTGGAGCGTCTGCTCTCTTTCCTGTGCTGGACTTGTCTCAGCCACCATTACTGGACACTCCACAGCTTTCCTGAAGCACATCTGGCCGTCCCCCAGCTCTGTGTGCACCCTCAGAGGAGCAGGTCTCCATGGAGCTGAGCAGCCCAGGGAGCTGTGAGAACACCCTTCCTTAGCCCCCTCTTTCCCACCACATCAGCCAGGGGCTCGCTGAAACCAAACCATGATCGTTGCATTTTGGCTTGGTCCTTCTGACTCTGGAAATTGTCAGGAGAGATGCTTTGGGGTCTGCAGAGTCTCACTGATTCCACGTGAAGCCATTTCCCCTCCAATCCCTGGACAAAAGCAGATGGTTCTGCACATTTAATGAGTTTCTCTCTTTTTTTCTTTTTTCTTTTTTTTCAGGGATTGTCCCTTGTGAGATTTTTATTTTTTTTTTAACACAATGGCTCAAATTAAGCAAAGCACTGAAATACATGCTTAAAAGTCCACTCATATTAAGCAAAACACTTAATCGTGAGCTTAAGTCCTTGGCTGAGTCAGGGCTGAGTATACATTCCCCCTAATTTCAAGGTAGTGATTTGAATACTTATTTCCATTTTATTGGCCTTGAGACCTTTTTCTTTGCCTGTTATTCCTGAATGACATCAAGGTAAGGTTAACTAATGGGGCTGGGAGGGGGAGCTGGTGGAAGTGTTGGTAACTGCATTTATGTTACTGAGAAGAAGATGAATCCGGCTGTCACGAAGTGGGCAATGCCTTTGTGGGGTGTTTCTACACCCCAGTGTTCTGTCCATGTGCACTTTGTGCAGGGAGAAAGGTCACACAGCATGAAAAGCTCATGAGGAGGAAGGGAAACTGCAATATTTCTTTTTACCACGGGATTTGCTACTGTAAGGCTGTGGGTTCCTACAGCAATAATGCTTTGAGCAGCATGAGGAGAGGGGATTAAGCCCAGAAAAGCCAGTGACTGGGAGGACTACAGGGCAAGATCAAATTCTGGGTGGATTTACACCCTCCAGAATGCTGGAGGTAGCAAGGGTAAGAAGCTGGGGGAGAACTCGTCCCCTCCTGGCCTGAGCTGGGAGGGGAGGTCAGTAAGTCTCACACTCGGTGGTGGCCGTGGAGCAGATGTCACAGTCACAGCGGATGGCCACCGGGTAGGTGTAGAAGGGGTCCACGTCAGGGGCACACCTGGGCAGCCTCACCGTCACCATCCTGGTCTCGTTGTAGGTGCAGATCCGGTGGTGGGACTCGATGTAAGGCGGCTCCAGGATCGGTTTCTGCGGGGGAGAAATGCTGGCCTCAGGCAAGACAAACATCTGGAGCCCCAGTTTCCCCAAGGGGATTTTGTGTAAATAGAGGAGCTACTGGATCAGGTGGAAGGGGCCATGGAAATAAATTTTAGGCTACATCATTCAACACTTGCCTCTTGGAGCCCTGCCATGGAGGGGAGTGGGTGCATGTATGTGTTTCAGTTTGTTTAAAGCATAAAGCTCCAATTAAAACCTGCTTGAAGGAAGACAAAAGATTATTTCAAAAGCTGTTTTTTAGCAGCCTCTGGGCGTTTCGACCACATGCTGCCAAAAGCAGCTGCTTTCTTCCAAAAAAGCATTGATTTTCCATTAAACACATTCTGCTGGAAACCCTTCATGTGCACAAGCTGCCTAAGAGCAGGGGTGCAACCAGGTGCCAAAGGCTGAGGTTTTTTCTCAACCAGACCAGTCTTCCCTGTCAGACTGCACCTCCCACAAAAACCAATGGCTGTACAATGTAGGGAAAGCTCTTGGCACAGCAGTCAGAATAGAAGTCTGCAATTCCTCCAGAGAAAATCAGCTTGGTCAGAGACCTCAACCATCAGAAGATGATGGGAGCCTGAAGGCCTTGAAACCCACCCTGCCATGTGGTACATGTGGTTTTGTCAAAAAATCAGTTTATTCTCAACAGGGACACCCATTTTCCAAAGACTCCAGGAAAGGTCAGCATACACAGGAATGGGAGCCCACTGCCTGAGGTAACACAGCCAGGAGACATTTTAATTTCTTTCTTCCCCTCTGTGCTATGCAAAGAGCCTGGGAACCAGGAAGGATGGACTGGGAGAGAACAGATGTAATATTTCAGCAAGAAGATGTGCAGACACCCTCCCTCTTACAAAGCCCCCATCCAAACACATGGTGGTGCCTTCTGGAAGCTGTAGAGCCCCCAGCCAGGTGCATTCAGCTGAGCTACACCTCGGGGGTACTGCAATACAGCAAGGTCTGAGCTGCCAGAAGAGCTTTGGGGTAGGGGGAAGCAGGGGTCAATAGATCCCTCTAAGGAACCCCATCCCAGTGTTGAATCTGGCCACTGGTGGCCTTTCCCTTCAAACCACCAAGTCATGAAGAAGGTGAGTCAGGGCTGGCAAACAGACCCTGGCTCTTCCTCTGGTCACTAGTGTAGAGTAGTTGCCTTCATTTGGACAAAATCCCTCTGAGTTATTCGAGTTGTTCTGAATAAATGAAACTAGGATTGGCTCCTTGAGCTTTCCAGTTGCAGAACGGCAAAGACAGTCAGAAACTTGTTCTCTGACATGTGTGTGGATGTACTTATGCTCTTTCCTTCTCCCTCTATACACCCCTAAAACTTAAGTACTTCATATTTGTACAGGGTTGTGACTTAAAACAGGACCAGAATTAGAAACAGACATCATCTTTGGGATTTGCTTTTTGGAACAAAATATATTACCCATCAATTGGGAGCTCCATCTTAATCTCCAAAGAATACTTTTTTTTCAAGCAAAGTAATAAAGTCCCCCTCTCCTTAAGTGTTCAAGCTGTAAGAGGCTTTCAGACTGCGTAGTAAGAGCATTACATAAGTGCTTCATTAATATCATCACATGGCTCCCATTCCGCTTTGGGGCAGTGGGAGGAGGGAGGGGACAACCAAGAACAAATGCCGACAGCGCAGCCAGGGCGTCATGGAGCAGGACACTGTGGGTGGCTGTCCTTAGAGGGCTTTTCCTGGGGGAGAATTACCAGCCAGGGATGTCCCTGGGTCACAGCCTCACCTCCCAGGTCTCACAGCGTCCCCAGCAGGCGTCCGTGGTGACCCTGAGCCCACGGCAGCCGGGTTTCCTGGCCAGGAAGGTGAATTCCCTCACGGCACAGCCCACGAACGTGCGCAGGTCAATGGCCTTGGCGGTGGCACCGCAGCTGGACAGCAGCAGGACAAGGAGAGCTGCAAGGATCAGGCAGGGGAGCTTCATGCTGAGGGCAGAAGGGACAGGAGGGCAGGGATGGGAGAGTCAGCATAGCCCAGCAGGCAAGAAGTGTGAGTGGATGGGCTCAGCTGAAGCGGGAGTAGCCCTTCTTCCCTTCAAACACAGTTAATCCTCACTCAGCCGGGAGGAGTGGGGAAGGTGGAAGAATGAGTGGTCACTACTCCCAGAAGTGGAAAATCTCAGAAAAAAGGTCTGTCACAGAATGCAGCAGTGTGAAGACTTTCCCTGCAGAGCACTGGGAGTTTGCCTGGAAGACATAAAGTCACCAGCCTATGCTTCAGCCCTACTGAAATCTCCATATTGCAGATTTGTTTTGCAGCATATGCCTCTCTACCACCCTCTCTGGGCTGTCCTGAGCTCACACAAAGCCAATAGCTCCATTGCTGGGAGCCAAGCACCCCTGAATTTGTGCTATAATCTCAGCATCTCCCAGAAGAATCACTGGAGTTGCCAGTACCGACACCCTGTGCACTGGACTTGTGCCATTCTTCTCCCAGGGCTGCAGCCAGGGGGGCTGGCTCTCCCTTCAGCACAACTCACACCCAACCCAGGCTGCCAAGGCACTGATCAGAGCTGGTCAGACAAGAGGGGACATGGCCAAGGTGACCAGAGGAACTCAGAACTCCTCACACCTGAGCAGCCTTGCATCCACCAAATCCCTCTGACACTTGTTGACTTTCTGTCTCAGCAAAGTAAGCAAGCAGCTTCTCTGGAACAGCTCCTCTGTCAAGAAAAAGAGAGCTGGAAAGCAGCTCTAAGCCATGAGGTCTATTTTACAATTCACATATCATCACTGCATTTAGATACATCTATCTTAGAAACCCCAGATCTGACACTTCATTTTGAGAAAGTCAGCTGCTGCATGGGGCACAGACCGGTGTGTGCTGCCATCTGTCCTCAGCTGGACAGACTGAAATTAAATGAGCTGGGACTGCCAGTTGCCTGGTTGATGCTTGAGTCTCTAGGCTCCTGTTAAATAAAATATTTAAATTTGCTAAATCAGGGCTTTAGATCAGCATGTGATGATATGCCATATATGATATGTCATATCATGTATGTCACCATGTATACACTAGTCTTACATGTGATTTAAGAGAGTATGTTTATTTATAACCTTCAACAGGGTAAAAAAAAAAAAAAGCTACAACTCCTTATTTTTATAAGAAGGTATATAGAGCAAAAAAGACAAACTTCAGAAAAAAACAAACATTTATCCTTTGCCACTTTAGCAAATCATTCTACTTTATTCATGAGCCAGAGCCAGGGAGCAACAGACACGCACTCACCTAACTCGTTGGAGTCAGAACTCCTTTTGCAGTTTTAAATTGCAGATGGTGTTTCAGGATGTCAGAGTGAGCAGCAGGAGACCAGCACCACAGTCTCTGTGTTTGTGATCAGTAGATCTCCCCAGCAGCTGCTACTGAGATGTCTAATTGCTCAAATTTATAGAAAGGATCTTGTCAATCAAGGCAGATCCTTACTTGAACTACCCAAGGCATCAAAGTCATTGAATGTAAAGCAAGGCTCTCCTTTCCAGCAGTGATTAGCTTCAAGAAAATTATTGTTTTTGCAGGTTATTGTTTCATAACCTAATCAAAAAAAGAGTATCTTGGTGAGTGAAATTATGAGCATGTACTGGGGCAAAATGGATCTTCTTTTCCATTATGGAATATCAACATCTTTGCGAAGGAATTGGAAGCTGGCTCTGAAATTGTCATAACCCCTATAATTAACAAGCCCTAAGTAAACATCCTCAAGGGAGACTTCTCAGATATCTGTACAAAAAAAAATGCCTTGATTTTTGTCAACTGAACAAGATCTTTTTTTTACTCAATTTCTCTCTACAAGCAAGGGCAAGGGATGGGGGGAGGAGGTGTGAGCTTGCAAGGAAAGAAAGTGTTCTCTTGGTGAGCTAGGTGGCTGAAACACAGGTAAGCACCACTGTGAAAGGAAATTTAGAAATCATGTCCTCTTCCTTCACTGTGTAAACCAAATTTTCAGCTGTCCATGGGACAGGAAACAGCTGAGGAACTTGGTTCTGTGAAAAACTTGCTGGTCAGTGAGTTCATAAAGGATGAGTGGGAGAGAGAAGTGCAGTCATAAGCTCGCACAGTGGCCTGGGGATAGTCACCTCCCTTCCTTTCCACCATGGATGGATGGTGACTTCCCAGCTGCAGTACCCAAAAAAATCCAGAAAAGACAGGGCAAGTGTCAGGGATTATGGACCCCTCTGGATGATGCTGTCAGAGACAGCCACAGCAATACAACCCAGCCATGAGAATATAAAACACAGGGGAAACCTTAATTCAAATAAAATCCATGTGGCAGTGGTTTAGAGGGAAAAACAAAACAAGTAGAGAGAAAAAAAAAAAAAAAAAAAAAAAAAAAAAGAAAAGAAAGAGTAGAGGAAAAAACACAACAACCAAGCAAAACAGCATCTGTTGATGTCCAGAACATGCATCTTATCAAATATGAAGCAGTGATTACTATGAGATTGTTAATTTACCTTACAAATATTCAATACATACTTCTGATGGATTGCACTCAGGTTTTCTGTAGTGTGAGCTATGGAAAACACCAAATTGACATTGAGGAAATGAGATATTGAACCATACAGGACCAAACAAGGTGATCTCCCTTTTTCAGGGTGAATAACCCATGGCTTGAGGTCCATGTTTCACTGCCAAGGTCAGCAGCCCTCGTTTGGTGCAGCAGCAGAGCTCACACTTATTTTCAAACCCCTGGGAACCCCAGAGCACTTTCTGTGTTTCATTATTCAGCTGGAGCAGCCACACAAGCTGGAATGGAAAAGGCTGGTTATTTACTCTCAAAGTCTACCTTTTCTGTCTAGATTAGGAAACAGTGATTGGAACAAGTGAAAGAGGGAAGGGATTGTCTGAAAAACAGAAAAGCAGCAGGCATTTAGTGCTGTTGCCATATTGACATCATGACATGGGAAACGACTGCTTCAAATAATTAATTCACTTAACAGAAAGCAAAATAGAAAAAAATAGAATGAACAGAATTTTTAATAAAAAATTTGAAAAGTTAGGAGGGTGGGGGCGTTTAAAATCTATCCCAGTATTCTCCCTCATTATTGTTCTCAGTCTCACTGGCAGTAAAGGACTCCAGTTCCAATGAAGGGTGAAAAGGTGAAAGTTGGAGGAGGAATGTTGAATGGAGGTGTAAATGTCTCCATCAGATCACCAAACAATGTCCCAGACACCTTTTTCCCCATTGAAACCCATAGGGAAAAGCAGGAAATTCAAAGACAAATGAGATTACAGGGAAGTCAAGAGGATCAGCCAAAGTCTTGTCACTGATCTAAAATGATCAGCAACTTTCCACTAAAATAACCCTAAAACTACTTTTCTATGATTTTCACTGACCAAAAATAAAGCTAGAAAATAAACTCTTAAAACTTTTTCAAAGTATACAGTTTAAAAGTTCTTGACTTACAGGGAAAGCAGGTAAAAGTGAAAATACTGAGCTTAAGTCCCCTTTATTTGATTCTGGAAATGTGCCAGCAAAAATCAGCCTAAGATTAGAGGCAGGTAGAGGAAATACGTGCCAGATGGCAGATGAACCAGCTTTGACAGATCCCTCTTCTTCCATGGATTAAAAAACCAGGTGCTGGAGTTTTTGTGTAATTCAGCTTGGTTTCAGTGACTTAGCTAAGTAAGATCCTGTTCTCTCCATTTGTACTGAACAGCCTCTTAGAGTGAAACAAAAGAGAAATTGCAGACTCTCACTTATTCTGTCTCCAGAAAATCCTGTCTGTTTGTGGGACAGACACCAATTCCTGAAGGATTTGCATGGTGTTTTGTGAAAAGCCTGAGTGCTGGCTTTTTGTTCCCACACAGAGTTTTGCTGTCTAACTGTTCTGTGAGTTCATCTCATTTTCAGTTAATCGATAAATACACCAGTAGGATTTGAAATTGGGCTGGTCATGAGAAAGGAGCTGATCTGAGCCATTTAATGAGACAGACCAAGGGAAATACCAGTGCTGAGGGGCTGCACACAGTAAGCACTGCAGAGAGCCATGCTGGCTGTGCCAGGCCAAAAGAACCTGGTGACCATTCAGGCAAGGAAAGAGAGACTGGACAGGAGATATTTTATGCACTACACAGGAGAGGGGTTTGGAAAGGTGGGTATTAGTTCAAAAGTAAAACAGAAGGAGAAATGGGTGTGGAATCAAGGTGGTGTGGGATGGCTGGCCACATTCACAGGAAGGTGGCATCCAAGAGAGGTTAGGATTCAGTTTAGAACAGGGAGTCATAAAGCTCTCAGGTAGGATGTATAGCTATAAATGTTAGATGTAATTTGATGAACTCACAGAAGAAAAATAGCACTAAAATCACTTTTCCCTACACATGTTGACACCAGACTTATGTCAATAGGTTGTTTACTCTTTGCTGGTAGTTTGGAAAAAAAGATAACCTTTATGTCTTGAAAGCAGCATTTCAAACAAGTGCATTAAGATTATTTAATCCATCCCCACAGCTACCGCGTGTTTGTCTTGGAGTGTGACTTTCTGTCATTTTCTACATTTTGAAAGAACACAAAGAGTTGGTTTGTAAAGGGACAGACAAAGCAGGTTTAACCTTGAGAGGGCACAGCTGATCTGTAAATGAAAATCAAAGGCAGCAAGTAAATCTCCTCGAAAGGCTCTGATAGAAACACTGCCAAGTGCCAGCACAGGGAGCAAAATGCAGCCACCAGGAAACGTGTTCTCAGATAAATGCAGGAATTAGATAAATGTGGGCTCTCCCTGCTAACAATGGGACACCAGTCCCCGCTGAAGGTCTCAGGCACACAAAACCACTTCTGCTTTAAAAGACTTTCTGCTCATTTTGCTTCCTGGGCTTAGCACAACATGAGCTGGCACCGGCTGAATGAGCATTACGGGGAGAAGAATGTAGTCAGAAAAGAGGATTTCTTGGGGCTGCTGTGGCAGGAAATGGCACCACACTCAGTACTCAGGG